TATAATATATATTTTTCAACAAGTCGGTCATCTCCCACCGAGGCAGGGTGACCCAAAAAAGAAAGAAAATCCCCAAAAAGAAAATACTTTCATCATCATTCAACACTTTCACCACACTCACACATTATCACTGTTTTTGCAGAGGTGCCCAGAATACAACAGTTTAGAAGCATATACGTATAAAGATACACAACATATCCCTCATATCTTTCTTTCTTTCAAAACACCGGCTGTATCCCACCAAGGCGGGGTGGCCCAGAAGGAAAAGGAAAGTTTCTCCTTTTACATTTAATATTATATACAGGAGAAGAGGTTACTAGCCCCTTGCTCCCGGCATTTTAGTCGCCTCTTCCAACACGCATGGCTTATGGAGGAAGAATTCTGTTCCACTTCCCCATGGAGATAAGAGGAAATAAACAAGAACAAGAACTAGTAAGAAAATAGAAGAAAACCCAGAGGGGTGTGTATATATATGCTTGTACATGTATGTGTAGTGTGACCTAAGTGTAAGAAGAAGTAGCAAGACGTACCTGAAACCTTGTATGTTTATGAGACAGAAAAATGGACACCAGCAATCCTACCATCATGTAAAACAATTACAGGCTTTCGTTTTACACTCACTTGGCAGGACGGTAGTACCTCCCTGGGCGGTTGCTGTCTAACAACCTACTACCTGTGGTTTAAAGCGTTATGTAGTTCTCGCTTACCATGAGGCAGGCCACTACAACATGGGTTCGAATCCTTGGCTAGCGCAGTGTTGTTATTGATTAATACCACTCGTTCGTGGTTACAATAATATATATATATTGCAAGAGCAGGCGGAATATACACAAACACTGATCTCTGGCTGAAGGAGACTCAAGTCTCCTTCAGCCAGAGATCAGTTTATATATATATATATATATATATATATATATATATTTATATAATATATATATATATATATATACAGTGGACCCCCGCATACCGTTGGCGTCACATAACGTTAAATCCGCATACCGATACATTTTATCGCTAAGATTTTGCCTCGCATACCGCTAAAAAACCCGCTCAACGCTATTCGTCCGAGACGCGTCTAATGTGCGGCCTGAGCCAGCCTCACATGTTCCACCGGTGGCATTGTTTACAAGCCAGCCTCCATGGTAACATCCAAGCATACAATCGGAACATTTCGTATTATTACAGTGTTTTTGGTGATTTAATCTGCAAAATAAGTGACCATGGGCCCCAAGAAAGCTTCTAGTGCCAACCCTGTGGTAGAAAGGGTGAGAAATATTATCGAAATACTGTGGTACCATGGTCAACTGCTGATGCTGCTGCTGCTGTAGCACTGTCAGCTGCTGCTTCTGCTGCTGTAGCACCGTTGTTGGTGTGGCTTATTGAGAATACCAAGAAACAATTAACCCCAGAGGGTTAGCCACCCAGGATAACCCAAAAAAGTCAGTATCATCGAAGACTGTCTAACTTATTTCCATTGGGGTCCTTAATTTTGTCTCCCATGATGCAACCCACACCAGTCGACTAACACCCAGGTGAACAGGGAAAAATGCCTGGAACTAGTGCTCATATTGGTGAATTTAAAGCCAGCAAAGGTTGGTTTGAGAGATTTAAGATCGTAGTGGCATACAGTGTGATAAGGCCTGTTCTGGAAGAAAATGCCAAACAGGACCTACATTACTCAGGAGGAAAAGGCACTCCCAGGACACAGTGTCTCATTAGTCATTGCTGCATCTTCAATAAAGGTAAGTGTCATTTATTCTTCATTTAGTAGAGTAGTACATGCACAATATATATTGTGCATGTATCCTTCTCTTTGTGTGTAGGAAAATGTATATTTCATGTGGTAAAATTTTTTTTTTCATACTTTTGGGTGTCTTGCACGGATTAATTTGATTTCCATTATTTCTTATGGGGAAAATTCATTCGCATAACGATAATTTCGCATAACAATGAGCTCTCTTGCACGGATTAATATCGCTATGCGGGGGTCCACTGTATATTTATATATATATATATATATATATATATATATATATATATATATATATATATATATATATATATATATTATATATATATATATATTATATATATAATCTAGGTAGTAGGTTGGTAGACAGCAACCGCCCAGGGAGGTACTACCGTCCTGCCAAGTGAGTGTAAAACGTAAGCCTGTAATTGTTTTACACGATGGTAGGATTGCTGGTGTTTTTTCTGTCTCATAAATATGCAAGGTTTCAGGTACGTCTTGCTACTTCTGCTTACACTTAGGTCACACTACACATACATGTACAAGCATATGTATACACACCCCTCTGGGTTTTCTTCTATTTTCTTACTAGCTCTTGTTCTTGTTTATTTCCTCTTATCTCCATGGGGAAGTGGAACAGAATTCTTCCTCCGTAAGCTATGCGTGTTGTAAGAGGCGACTAAAATGCCAGGAGCAAGGGGCTAGTAACCCCTTCTCCTGTATATATTACTAAATGTGAAAGGAGAAACTTTTGTTTTTCCTTTTGGGCCACCCCGCCTCGGTGGGATACGGCTGGTGTGTTGAAAGTTGAAAGATATATATATATATATATATATATATATATAATCTAGGTAGTAGGTTGGTAGACAGCAACCGCCCAGGGAGGTACTACCGTCCTGCCAAGTGAGTGTAAAACGAAAGCCGGTAATTGATTTACATGATGGTAGGATTGCTGGTGTCTTTTGTCTGTCTCATAAACATGCAAGATTTCAGGTATGTCTTGCTATTTCTACTTGCATTTAGGTCACACTACACATACATGTACAAGCATATATATATACACACACACACCCCTCTGGGTTTTCTTCTATTTTCTTTCTAGTTCTTGTTCTTGTTTATTTCCTCTTACCTCCATGGGGAAGTGGAACAGAATTCTTCCTCCGTAAGCCATGCGTTTTGTAAGAGGCGACTAAAATGCCGGGAGCAAGGGGCTAGTAACCCTTTCTCCTGTATATATTACTAAATTTAAAAAGAGAAACTTTAGTTTTTTCTTTTGGGCCACCCCGCCTCGGTGGGATACGGCTGGTATGTTGAAAGAAGAAGAAGAATATATACATGTATATATATAATCTAGGTAGTAGGTTGGTAGACAGCAACCGCCCAGGGAGGTACTACCGTCCTGCCAAGTGAGTGTAAAACGAAAGCCTGTAATTGATTTACATGATGGTAGGATTGCTGGTGTCCTTTTTTCTGTCTCATGAACATGCAAGATTTCAGGTATGTCTTGCTACTTCTACTTACACTTAGGTCACATACATGTACAAGCACATATATACACACCCCTCTGGGTTTTCTTCTATTTTCTTTCTAGTTCTTGTTCTTGTTTATTTCCTCTTATCTCCATGGGAAGTGGACAGAATTTTCCCCCGTAAGCCATGCATGTTGTAAGAGGCGACAAAAATGCTGGGAGCAAGGGGCTGTAACCTTTTCCTGTTATATTACAAAATTTTAAAAGGAGAAACTTTCTTTTTTCCTTTTGGGCCCCCCCGCCTGGGTGGGTGGGGCGAGTGTTAAAAAGAAAAAAAAGAAAGATAGTTATATATTCTATCTTAGGTGCAGGTTGGTAGACAGAAAACCCCCAGGAGGTATCTTTTCCTCCCAAAGTGAGTGAAAAAACGAAAGCCTGTAATTGTTTTACTGATGGTGGATTGCTGGTGTCTTTTTATTCTGTTCATCCATACAAGTTTTGGGTAGTCTTGCTATTCTACTTCATTTAGGTCACTCTAACATACACGTACAAAATTATATACCCCCCCTCTGGGTTTATTCTTTTTTTTTTCTAGTTTTTCTTGTTTATTTCCCTTTTACCCCCATGGGGAAGTAAAAACAAATTCTTCCCTTTTCCTAAGCCATGCTTTTTGGCAAGAGGCGACAAAAATCCCGGGCAGGGGTAGAAACCCTCTTTCCTGTATATATTACTAAATGAAAAAGGAGAAACTTTGATAAAGGGAAGCATTTAGGGGGGATGATTGGGAAATAATTAAAAAAATGTGTCCTTCCCCCCCCCAGAGTGCAGAAGGCAAAACATTATCAAAACACAGGATGAATAAAAAATTTTTAATCCCATAATTTGGGGGTTTTTGCTGACAAAAATTAACTTCAAAAGGCCAGGTGAAATATTATACTATAAAATAATTTCACCACTAAAAATTTTTGTAGCTAACCCAACAAAATAATAAAACGGGAAAAATCAGAAACCCATCAATTAACAAGTGAAGGGTGCCCAAACAACTAAGAAATAATAACGTAAATCAAAAAACACTTCAAGGATCTCAACACCATTCAAACGAATCAACCTCCAGGTAATAGATGTGAAAAAGGAACTTAATTTAAAGCAATTTCTCGGAAGGCTCTTTCTTTCCTTCACATAAACCAAAATGTTGCTGCATTTTAGTGTGTTCCCTAAAAGAATAAATTTAGATAGCATGATCTTGCACTATCGGGGTTATAAAATAGGCAGCCACGGTAGTTTCCCACTACTCAAAAAAATTTTCAAAAATTCCAGTTTTCATAAAAAGTTTCTTTGGGAAAGGGATTTAAATTAAACCCGGGTTAGACAGCCTAAATTTGTTGTTTAAAGGTATGTACCATCACCTGTTTAGGCTGGAAAATGATTTCTCTCTTCACTGTTCTGTATATTTTTCTGCTGTCTTTTGTCCATGTAATGATTGATAAAGCCAGGGAGGAAAAACTTCTACAAGTAGAGATACCCAAATGTTGCACAGTCTAACTCATTATTTGTCTTATTAAATCTACTGAATGCAAATTTTTCCGGCACTCTGCATTCATGTTAGTGATAAAGGGGGATTCCAAGAGAAAAGGGTTCTTTGCCCAATTTTCTGTAAAATACATTTTCTTTTTTAAGCAAAGAAAAATGACGTAATTTAGTAGTAATTCCCAGATTTAACCAAAAACCAAAAACGAATTTTGTGTTATAAAAAATTATTGAAATATCTGTTTTTTTTAACAGGAAAACGACAAAATTTACACCAACAAGAGAAAAAAAGGGTCAGCTTCAAAAATCACTTCTAAACTTTTTAAAAAAATATCACCCAACAAAGGCATGTAAGTATAGAAAATTTTTTGAGTTAAAAGTTGTTTAAAAAAATTCCCGAACTGATTTAAAATTGTCTTTTAATTATAAAAAAAAATATATCTTTTAAACAGGCAATGTGCAGTTTTGAATTAGTTTATGTTGTCTTTTTTTTTTTGCTTCTCCCCGTTCTAAAGCAGTATGTATTATACAGGTTAAAATGCTCCTTTTCAAACAAAAATAATAATAATAATTATAAAAATAAATAATAATAAATAATCTTATTTCTTGGCATCTACACGTTAAATTTTCCACTTCCTCTTTTTTTTTTCTTTTAGGTATGAAGGTAAATATATTTGGATTTTAAAACCCGTGGGGTTAAAAACTCAATTATTTTGTTATTTCCATTGGGGCTACAGGTCCTGCCTAGGATGTAAAAACCCCAACGTCGACTAATCCGGGGGGTCAGTGGGAATTCTTTTTTTTCAGCAAGTCAATGCATTTAGATGAAATTGTTAATTTTCTTTCCCAATTTATTTTTAAAATTTCCTTTTATTATTTTCTTGGAATGATAATACAAGGATAAATCAACTCCAGAAAAACAAAATTTTTAGGGTTTTTGCTCCCCAGAGAAAAATATCAAAATTGCCCCAAAAAATTTTTTGCTCCCGTGCAAAACTCCTTCTTCTTCAAAAGACCACCCTGGGGGGGGTTTTTTTAATCACCCGGGGGTTTTTTTTTCCCAGGGCACCCGTTTTTGGGAAAAGCAGTTTTTTGCCACGTTTCTAACAATGCTGTCCCCGTTACTAGAGTACATTTCCCAGGAATTTTCAATACAGGTATTTTTTTATCCAACAGCTTTGGGAACAAGACACAAAGGGACAAACAAGAATTTTTTTGAAGGGGAAAAATTTTATCATGGTGTCTATAATTTTTTAAAAGGAAAAAGCCACAAACACATTATATAGCGGTATCAACGTGACCAAAAAAAGCAAAGTGGGGGGTTATTTATGAGAAATGAGTAGGGGGGGCCCTTTTACCCCATGAGTGGAATTATTTTAGAAGGACCTGTTCGCATACACCAGTACTCCCGTAGTGGTTGCAGGGGTCAAGTACAGTTCATTCTTGGGAATCAGATGGCAGTGTTCTGGTTTGGGTAGGATCATTTTGTCGAATTCTGTACATGCTAAAAACTCCGATTTTTGTTTGATAAGTGTATTCAGTGACACTTTCCGGCCTGAATGTTTTTAAATAAATCACTCTCTTTGATGATAGTTTTATCCTTTCCTGTCATGTGAGTCTTGTGTACTATGATATTGAAAACTGCATTTATGATTGTAGGCTATCTGTGTTCCCAACATGCTAGTCCATGATCCCCGATGTTGCCCCTATGTAGACCTGGTCCCTAATACCGTTTTGTTTCCACAAAGCGGTTTTATATGACTGGTAACGATGGTGCCTTGGAAATGGTTGCTGTTTTATTTTGGGTAATTTTTTTTTGCGGGAGAAATGGTGTGGCTACAATAACAGATTATGTACCCGGGGAAGTTGTCATATCTTTCTCTTTTGTGAAAAATTGGTGGAACTGTAACTTTTCAAAAATGAATCTGGTATTCAATCCTCAAGAAGTAGCTGGGGCCCCTTTGGGCCTTAAGGAGAAAATGGGGTGGTATTGTAAAAAAGGTGAAAAATTGTTTTCTTACTTATTGGTTGACTGCAGTCTGTCACATGTGTACAAGAACATCAAGGAAAGGTAGATAATTGTCCCTCTCTTCCTGTAATATGAATTCATTGGTGGGCTTGATGTTGTTAATGGTGTTGGTTATAGCAGAAAGAACATGGACTTAAGGTGCTCTGTATGTCATTTAGAGCACTTATGGAGAGCCCATGGCCATTCCAAAGCACTGTCTGTATTTTTTATCCTCATAGCTAAAGCATTTGTAATTCACACACAGCTCCACCACATCAACAAAATCTTAGCTGGATACTGGGAGATCCAAAGGGTTACTAACTATTGCTGAGGAGAGAGATAGGGCTATTATGTCAAAACTGTATAAGTGTTTTTTTCTTGACAATGATGTCTCTTAATACAATTGTTAAGGTCCCTTAAGTGCTTGAGGTGTGTCAGGCTAATGGTACTTGGATGTTTATAGAGATATTTAGCGAGGTTTCCTGTTGGTGTGATGCATCTAAGTTGTTTTTAAGCCAAGCCTGTCAGATACTCTGAAAACCTGAATTGGCCAAGAGATTTTACCCAGCATTCCTAAGCCAGCCATGCTTTATACATTACCTAAAACTCGCAAGCCCAACATTTTTGTTAGCTCCGTCACATCAGTCAGTGACAGTGCCCCACCACTCTTGTCATAAACATTAACATCAAGAATAAACATTTAGCTAGTTTTGACTTTACAGCTCTATTTATCAATGTGCCAACCACACAAGCCATTTCTCTCCTCTTCTTTCCTCTGCAACAACAGTCAGTGAAAATTTTGACTTCCCAGTAGCCAGTTAAGATTTTGTCTACCTACTGGAGCTTGTGTGAATTACTACTGCTGCAGCAATGGGGATTAAAAAAAGTGTTTTGGGATGGCCATGGCATTCCCCATAGGTATTGTGCTTGCTAACCTCTTATATGGAGCACCTCAAGTCTGTCCACATTATTCCTTCTTTATGTTGAATTATTATATGGCTACACTTTGTCAGTGACCTACTGGTCATCTTGCCCAAGAGACTCGATATACAGAACACACTCAACATCAGTCTGACCAACAAAATGCAATTTACTTGATACATCAGTGCCTGGAAGCCTCCGTGATTTCACACAAAACTCAGGGAGATTCAGCATCTCCAAAATTCTTGCAAAACTGATCTTACCCAACCATCAGAACTAAAGAATGGAGGAGCACTGCAGTAGGCCATGCTAAACAGGTCCTCAAATCTAACCCTTTTCACTCATTCAGTACAAAGTCCTGTCCACTACATTTCCAACAAGTGGTGAGGTCACTTGTTGGAAATGTACCCTTAGTACCTTACACCTTCCTGATATATATACTGTGTTTTTTGCAGTCTCTTTCTCAGAATAAAAAAAAACCATCAGTGATGGAATGTCTCCTTCAATAAATGCCTTGACTATGCATACGTACAGTAGTCCCAAAAACCTAGGGAGGACCTAAAAAAGGACCCCAGTAGAAAAACCCACACTGCTTGGCTTATTCAAATAAAGTCTTCTGTACTTTGTTGAAAGTGGTAGGGTCTGGTATACATGCTGAAAAGTATTTCTGGGTAGTATAGTTGTTGCTACATCTGTGATTTCTATATTAGTAGCTCTTAATTATTGTTCGGCAATATGCCAAATCTAAACTTGTAACTAGCTCATTGATTTTCTAATGAAATGTTTTATGGGCATTAACAGTAACTGCAAAAGTAATTTATTTTAAAAAATTTTAATACATTATTTACATAATTTGTAAGTTTTGAAAAAAAATTCTTAAACATTACTAATCCTAATTATAATCCGTTCCTTATTTGGGGTTGTTGCCTTATGTTTTAATGAAATATTCCAGTAATGTAATGATTTTTTATCATCTAAATTCACCAATACCATTTGGCCTCAATTTCTATCCTGGAATCTTTGCCCATTCCATCTACTTTGGGTTTTATGACAATTGAATTTTTCACAACACTCAATTTGCACTGCAGTGATGAAATTCTGTTTGTGGCTAGTCTTCCATATAATAATGAGTATTTCGTGCAAGTACTTGTCTTTATCCAATAATCTGTCTTGAGCTGGATTCCTTATACTACTAAACTGAAGTCAGGACAGTACACAACAAAACTTTTGGATATTTTTAAAATGCTGTGAGCTAGGTGGTGGCACCACTGGAGGGGGCTTGAGGGTTCAGCCCTCCTAAAAAAAATTCCCGCTATCCCTCCAAAAATAAAATCAGGTAATATTGATAACACGTGTACAGTGGTACCTCGAGATTATGTAATTATTTCATTCCGATGGCTGAACGAATTATTCCCAAAAGGAATAATGTAAATTAGATTAATAATTTCAGACCCCCAAAAATACATTACAAAATCACTACATAAATACTCTTACATATATTGTCTTTCGAGTTGGGAGATGTTCATATCCTGGAGTACCACTGTACTTCAAAACATTTCTTAGCTCCTCTACTCCAACCAGAAGTTACCCCCAAAAGCCCCCAGTATAGAAATTCTGGTAACAAGCCCTGCCAGTGAATTGTTATGTTTATTTCAACCACTATTGATACCAGATATAGTGTATACTAAATTTTATTATAAATGTGTTTAGTGGACTCTCATGGTTTCTTAATGGAACTCTTTTTGCTATATCAGTACTCATTTATGACTATTTTAAATCTCTCTTGTTGATCATGCCAGTCTTTTTTCACATTACAAAAGTTTTTTAATAGTTGTGTGGAATTTTTCTTAGAATTTTATTGCCTATTTATTTATCCTTCATTTTTTAAAAGTCTTTTTATTGTTGATTGGCTGTATATAGAACCTGTTAGTAGTTTAACGCAATTAACTGTTCACTTTTGAAATTGTTTTACTTACTGTATGTAGATAAAATTGACAAGAGGGTAAATCCTAACTGGTATTTTAACCTTTAAGCTTCCATCTGTTGTCCCTTGTATTTTGGTCCAATTCCTATCAAACAGTCTGCCCCTTTTATACCTGCCTATGTCCAAGTTGTACTCTTGATTTACATTCTTCCACAATATGTGGAAACATACTTCAATCGGGGTAATGCTCAATGTTATTCTTTATTACTGATACAAAACTAATTATAAACAGTGAACCAACAGGAAAACTGTTAGAGGAGAGAGCACCCAGGAGCTTGGTTGGGTCCTCTTATTCAATGACAAGAGGAACTAGAAGCAGCTTTCAAGATGGAGAAGTTCCTATAAGGCGAGTCTTAATGAATCTTGGCCAAGCAATTCTCTTGTCGTCTGAAAAGTAATCTTCAAGAGAATTATCACGAACCAGTGGAGTAATTTGA